ACTGGGTAAGTATTATGGGAATAGTAGTCCAACATATGTGGAAGGCCTCAGATTGCATATCTCTGCTTCACAAGCATAATTTCTTCCAAACTTGAATATGCAAGGAATAAACACAAAGAACCAGATTATATACAAAACATTTTATTACATATATTTGTGAATTTACAATATGTACATATTGCACATTTAGCTGGAATGTATATTTTTATTATACAAGAAAGAAGTGACTTTAGAGTGGATACAGAATTCAACCTAACACATGTTCATCCCTTGCCTATGGCATGCAGTCTAGTAGACCACCACTGTAACAGCTTTATGAAAAGTTTGTAATGTAACATTTTCAGTTGCATAAGCAAGAAAGATATCAAATAATGCTTCTTCCACAGGCAGGTTTCATTGACAGTGTGCTGTAATGTCTCTTAAGGGAAACATGTCTATACTTGAAAAGATGGTACTTGTTACTTTTTTGGCAGTACAACACAACTGTTGTAGAGCAACTTTAAAGCATAAAACATGAACAAGTAATTAAACTTTTGGTATTTTTTTTCACTAAAAAGAATGCATCTGTAAACAGTGATGATGGGATACAAAACACATTTTTAAAAGTTTTATGAGAAGTAGTCCATCAATTTCCAAAAATAAATCTCTGGTTCATAATGCCATATATTACAAAAATGCTAAGTTCAATTTCCCTGTCAGTTTCCAAGGCACTTCTCTTGGTTCTTTTATATATTTTTCCTTTGATAATAGTAGCATCTAAAGTAAAAAAAGAAAAAAAAGAAAAAGCAAAAGATTAAACTCTATTTTTCTTGATGTTTCACATTAATTTTCAATAAATTCTGTTAAATAAATAATTCAGATTGTTTCCAGTTCCTATTGGAATGTGGGGTTTGAGACAAATGAGAAAAACCTTCCATAATATAAAAATCTAAGCTTGATAATCCATATTACAAAGTACAGTAGAATATTCCCAGGTTCCATTTGACAATTTGCACCTCTGCTGTACAGTTTCTTTTTTGCAAACGTATTAATAACATTCTTTTTCACAAGGGTGATCCTGATTGGTATTCTGAAGGACAATATAGACAACTTGAACATTAGAAATAGAAGGAATGGTATTAAATTTCTTTTATATCAAATAATTGATTTAAAGAGAAAATAATTCAATGATTCTCTTTTGGGGGCATCCATAGTTCCTCGTGCTGCTGTACAGTATTGCTTTATTGCTAAGTAGGTATAGTAATTCAAATACAAATTGCAGTTGAATAAGCAAATACTTTTTAATGCTGTTTCATTCTATGTGTAACAAAAGCAGCAACATTTACGTACTGCATTATAGAATATCATGAAAGGTGTCGATGTGTAGCTGGCTTCTACACATATCTAATATTAAAAATGTCTGTTATATTGACAAAAAATATCCAGTATAAATAGAAAGAAATAGCAGTTGATTTAATTCCTGAAAAATTAGCTATGCCCATTAGCAATAGCAATAGCACTTAGACTTATATATACCATTTTACAGTGTTTTACAGCCCTCTCTAAGGGTGTACAGAGTCAGCATATTGCCCCGAACAATTTGGGTCCTCATTTCACCCACCTCAGAAGGATGGAAGGCTGAGTCAACGTTGAGCCCAGTGACATTTGAACTGCCAAATTGCAGACAGACAGCTATCAGCAGAAATAGCCTGCAATACTGCACTCTAACCTGCGCCACCGAGACTCTTAGTTTGAATTTTAAAAAAATACACTCTACTAACTGCACACTACTATGAATAATTCACAGTTGCCTGAGACTCCATACTGTTGCTTTCCAGTAGCGGGTATGTTTTTAATTAATGGTAAATATTTTACTAATAAAAGGATTTGCATCGCTTTTTGAAGCAAGCATATTTCAGTCCAAAAGATATTCTGCCAATTCTTATGAATTAGTCATTGTTATCCACATAGTGGCAACATACAATTCTTCTCAATAATCTTACCTTATCCTTCTGTGCACATTGGACTTACTGCCAACCGAGTAAGGAGCCTGGCGCATCTTTTATAATCTGTGGTGGGGGAGAAAAGATAATGTGAAAAGTTCTTATGGGGAGGGTCGGGTTATTATATTTTTAAAATGCAATTTGTATGAGGGAATACAAATGTAACTAATTCATCTTGAAGTACTGTAGATTTGAATTTGTGTGCTTGAGCTAATTTTAAACATGCTCCTTAGATTTTTAAGAATGGTATATAAGTTTGCCATCATATGAAGATTGATTTGGCATAGGTCACTTGAATGGATGGATATTTCATCAGACTAAGATGATGGATATTTTAATGGATATTTTCCATTTGCATGAGAAAAATGAATTAAAAAAATGGATGGATATTTTCCATTTGCATGAGAAAAATCAGTTTGTATTTGTTTGCAGTGAACTATGTATAAATAGCCATGCCTATGAAGTAAATAAAATTTGAAGTTAATCATGGGGCAAGTTAATCAGCATCTAACTATCAATCTAATATGGAATAAGAGCTGCTAACAGGGTAGCAGCAAGAAAGGAAAGAAGATGCTGAAAGCTTGTACTAAAGGAAGAATAGTGAAGATGGTCTAATACAGCAGCTCTCAATCTGGCATCTTAAAACACATGACTTGGTCCATCAAAAACCCATGTCCCATAATAAAACTACTATTTCAAAGGAAGGTTTGCATATGTTTAAAATTTCTGTTGCCATAAATATTGGAAGTTCTAAACATTTCAGCAAATTGCCCTGTATCCCTTTAAACAACACATTTATTTATTTAGCATATTTAGGAACTATTACTCACTCTCATAGAGTGATTCTTAAATATTAAATTATGCAACGTTGCTTGCACAATGTCAATCTTTAAATGAAGTATATTGATGCTCATTAGTTAAATAGTTCCAAAACATATTAGTGAAAACACTGGGAGCTAAAACAAGTAAGAGAAGCAGTAGCAAAGTATGAAATTCATTTTCATCTCATGAACTAATAGCATGTTTTTGTTAATGAGCGGTTCATACTATATGCTTGTATCTATGCAGATTCATGCAGAAATGTGGATGCAATAATAAATGAGAAAAAGAAATCTGTGTACAGTATTTAGGCTGCCACTTAGTTCTGTAATTCAGTTCCTCAAGCAACATTTAAGTTCACTCTAGCAATCAGGATTAGTTTTAAATCCTGTGAAAAGTAATCCTTAGAGGAAAAAAAGTTGCTATAGGGTAACATACTTTGCCCAGAAAATGTACTGATGTAATTAATTCCCAAATGCCAACTTATTTTAAAATATCCATTTTTGTACAGTTAAAATTGTTGAAAAATAAGAAACATATACTTTGTTGAATTGCTGACTTTATTTGGGAGGCCTTTAATTTGGTCATTATACTAAGGCTTAATATGGTTCCTTAGTTTTGGCTTAGACTAGTTGAACAAACAAATGTTGGTTTTTCAGCTACTCTAATAACAGGTATTAACAGATTTGGCTCAATGTGTGAGAGATTTTGTGGTCAATTTGTGAATAGAGGGATCAATTCATAAGGAAATGTTCATCTACTTGCAGAAATATTACCTCCTGTTTACACCTTGGCTTAGAAGAAAAAAATGTGCAGTTTATGCATTTATGCAAGTTCAAAACCTATGTACTAAATGACTAAGTTCTAATGAAGTGTGTTTCTTAAAGGTGTTTTTCTTTTCTGCTAGCATCTATGTATTTCAAGGAAAATAATATGGATATCTTGATTTTCCCTGATACAGTTGGCACAAATTTTGAATTTTTATATCTAAGCAGG